ACTGATGATTTGATAATATATAATTAATTGAAATCAAAAAATATATAAGATGGCATCCTATTTGTTTTGTTTGTAGTTATTGGTTTGCTTAAGTTTCATTTTATATGTTTTGGCTGAGTGTCTTAATTTACTACCATTTCTGATTGGTTGTGTTAATTATTTATTTATCGGAGTTAATCCAACTTCATGATCAGGTGTAATATAAAAGAAATGCAAAAAAAATGCAAAAATTAAAAATTTTTCATAACTCTAAATTCAATATATGAAACTGTTTTTTACGCATTAATAAAAAATTTTCTTGTAAAATTTTGGTATAGAAACGTGTTATAATTATAATATAATATTAATTCTAGTTTAACAGCGTGAATTTTTATTTGAAATTTTTTTGTGATTATTAATATAAATACTCCAATAATTGGTACAGCCAATCATAAGTGGTGGGTGAGTTTAGTCAATCTGTTTTGGTTATGTTCGCTTAGCTGGGTTTAAATTCTGTATTTTTTTTACTATATTTTGATAATTATTAATTGTTAATTCATTAAGATATATGTAATTTAAATATAGGCGCTAGAACTTATATATACGGAAGGCATTGTTATTTAGTTTTTAGTTATTAAACCAGGAATTATTTCTTTTAGCTTTACCCAATTATTTATTTAAACTTTGGTTCATAATAAATTTAATAAGGTGAATATGTTTGAGAAATAAATTCATAGACTAGAGATTTGGATGAAAAATCTGTGTTATGCGGTAAATTATCAATAAAGGAAAGAAAAAAACTTAAACGATTATGGGAAATAAATTTTTTTGCGAATTTAAAATGAAAATATTGTTTAGATGACATTAATCTTATTTGATTAAAATTGTTAATTAGATTATAGATATTTTTGCGAATTTTTTTAGAAATAAAATTCATTTTGGACCTTACTTCTGAAGTATATAAAAAATTTTGACAGTTTCGAAGAATAATATCTTCATCTTCATCAATGCCACATTTTGTGTAAACTGATTCAAGATATTTAGCGAATTGATGAATTTGATAGCATTTTTGAATGTTGGAAATTCTTAGTAGAGTGGAATATACAATATGGATTATTGGTAGTATTTGAGAATGATGAGTCCATATAGTATCAATAGAATTAGTAGTTATAGTTTGAAGATTATGATATTTATAATCTATAATAACTGGTACATATTTCATTTTGTACAGTAAACAAAATGAAATAATTATGAAAATATGAAAATATTTTTTGATATAGTGAATTATAAATATATTTTTGATATAGCGAAGAAAATCTTCAGCTAGAGTGTTTTGCTATGATAAGAGTAATTTATAGAATTTTCCTATTAATAATATTTTATTATAGTTTACGGGTTTTATATATTATGCTTTATTGTATAGTATTATTTATAGATGTAGAACTTGTTTAAAATTTTAACTTTTGAAATTGATTAGCATTCGTGAGTATTTTGTATAAAGTTGGATATTATATCCGAGAGAAATCATATGAAAGTAATGAATTAATATAGTTATACTTACTAGTTTATTCAAGAAATGGATCAGTAGAATAATGAACAATAGCCAAGTTTTAATCTAGGAGGTGTAATTTTATGATAGCACTATAAGAAGAGTTATTGTAATTGTTGTATGGGAGAGCTTGTTGAAAAGCATGGCAATAGGGCAATTTGGTTTAATAGCATATGATAAGAATAATTTTAGGCAGGTAGTTTGAGAAGATTTTTATAACTATCTAGTAGTAGTTTGGGGAGAATAATTAATTACGAGAGTCAGTCTTGATATTAATACTTAGTAATAATACATCATATAATTACTGGAAATGGGATGATGATGGTGACGAAGAAATATAATATATTTTGTAAGAAGTGACATTTACAATTTATGTTATTAGATGATAGATTAAAAGAGTCCGGTAACTGGTTGTGAATCTTGTGCTCTATGTAATTTCTGCGAGTTATTAGCATGACTAGTAATATATGATTTTTAAGTTATTGAATCTGAGTCTTAATAAAGTGAATTGGAGTTATAAGCTAATACAGTTTGTTCGAAAATAATGTTTATGCTTCTATTAGAATGTTTATGCTTAAACTATTTCTTTGTGATTATGTAAGTATATCATTTTAGCAGGTTTATATGGCTGCATATACAAGCTAATTGTGCATTTATGCGACTTGAATATATATATATAATTGAGCTATTAAGCCACCATTTTAGTATAAGTTATGAAATGCTAAAAAGAAAAACAATAGATTTACCGAAATTGAATACCGTACTAGAATGGAATACGTACACAGGAATTATAAAGAAAACATATATGCAGATAATTTATTTTATGCGGTTTAGTGGTTTTTTTTAGTTGCTTGTATTTTTTTGAGTTGTGAGATAATTAAGGTCGGAGTAGATCGGCATTATTTTGGTGAATAATAGAACTTGATTATGAGAATGACTGTGCTCTTTTTTAGAGTCAGTAAAAAGCAATATATTTATATGAGTACGGATATTAATACATAATCGTTTGAGAGTTAATTTTAATTGAATAAGTAGGTCGGTTTGATATGTGTGAAGGGTCGGAGATTAAAAGCGTTGGAAATGAAATTTTGGATGTATTTTAAGAATTTACTTTAGATAATAAGTGGATTTTTAACTTTGTATAGATTGAAAGTAATATAACATGTGACGTTCTGTTATTTGGAGCGTGTTTAATTAATGGTACGTATTACTTTTTTTTTTATATAAATAAATTTTATCAATTAGGAATACGTGGCATATATTAATGTAAGTCGAGATAGGATTTATATTCGAAAATAGTCACTTGTTTCTGTATGTATAAAGTATAGCATACTAATTTTGATGTAGATTAATCTTAATGTGAAATTTTTTAATTATTTAATTATGTAAAATGATTGATTTCTACACAGGGTTAGTATCGGTTATTACGAGATAGAAGTGTTATGGTATGAATCTTGTTTGTTGTGGCGGGGAGTATCGGGTTGTTTGTAACGCATCCATTCGTATGCTTGATTGTTAAATTATTATATGTAATAAATCATGTGATCAAATTATATAATATAATGTGATTCATATAGTGTAAGATCATCAACATGCTTAATAAGGAGTAATGGCTTTATTTCTAGATATAACAGGGTTGTATTCTAGTTCAGTCAACTTTTTTATTTTTATTGTATT